ATAAAAGAAAAAAAAAAGTTTTTTTTATTTTTTTTAAAAAAAAAAATCTTTTTTTTGTTTCAACCCAAAAAAAAAAAAAAAAAAAAATTACATGTTGACACATAAGATGAGATGGTGGCAACAGTGGTAGATGTTCGCCCCACAATTGTCAGGTTGGTGGGTCCATCTCTGTTCCACCCGGCTCCTCTAGCGTCTGGCAGCCTCACCCCATAAGACTGTAAGACATAAGACAGCTGTGGCTATTATCCAGTACCTCACCACCATGTGAGTGTATGAGTGACTGACTGTAATATGAAGCGCTGTGAGGTCCTCTGGACTTGATGAAGCAATACTTATATAAGTCATTTATACCATACATTTTATTGAATTGTGGCACTTTTGATTTGCCATAATTGATGCAGTTAAAAACTGTTCATTGTTCATTGCAACACATTTAAGGTACATATTGTTTACACCTAATAAAGTGTCTATTTATTTGTCTTGTGTTTCCGTCAAAACGGCTCGTTCCGCTGCAAGCGGCTCCACAATGTATCAAAATGTGATTCGTTCTTATCTGTCTCATAACAAACTATGATGACGTGGTGAGAGTTTTAACAAATCTGTAAAAAACATATTCTATAAAATAATTTACGTACAGCAGATATAAGTTATGACATCTGTCCCAGATAGAATTAAATATTTTTTTGGTCAAACATTTGCATTTCGTAGATTCACATTGTTTTGGTTTAAAGATAAGATTGACAGTTGAGTTTAACCCAATAAAACAGATACCTAAAGAATGTCTAATACGAATACGGACAATGTATTTCTAAAATTGAGAAAAGCAATTAGAGGCAAACAATCAAACATAAACTTGTAAGATTAGCTCAGAAACTCTTGACAGTGAAACTTGAACTTGAAGTGACTATGTAAAGGTGAGTGTCCCTTCAATGAGCATTTCAATTTTAATTATGTGTCAAGCAGACACTGAGCATGTTCCCATTCCTCATGGTGTCTGTCAGCACCCAGGGGCCGACCCCCCGCTGGAGGACCTCATTAGATTAGGCTCCCCAGGAGAGCTTCATCCTCAGCAGAATGCAACATTTCCATCTTCCATATCAAAGTACTTCTTTTCTGTTTTCCTTCCCCTGACCTCGTCCAACTTATTTGTTTCCATGACATTATGTCATAGTGTAGTTCGCATTTTTGGTAATAACATAATCTAACAATATGATGTATATGACGCATACTTTTATGCAAATTCAAAAAACTCTGTCAGTCACATTTTCCAACCTGAATTGTGCAGACTGTATCAGTGCAGACCTTCATTAGCGTATCTGGTACAAATTGTTTATTGTTTCCAAAGTATTACTAAAGACCATCACAGATCTAATGAGGACCTTATCTATAAACAGGGCAAGATTAAATACTAGCGTTCCTTCAAAGTGCCACAGTATCCTACTCAATCAGTGGCAGCCAAGCATTTCTCATTAACTGAATCTCTAAATATTGAAACGAGTCCTTATATGTTGATCTGTAATCCATCTAACAATGATCCCAAATCGACGTCTTAAAGACAGCAAGGAGGCCATGTTTTATGCCCCTCTGAATTTAAATCAATTAAGCAAAGAATGGAGAAGCTAAATGACCTGGGTATAGTACATTCGATAAGCCTATAATTACTGCCCACCGATCTTCTGCGCAGTATATTGGCCCATGAATAGGATAAAGGTCAGGATGTAACATTGTGCATCGACTTGGTTTTTACACTAATGGACGTCAATACAGAGTGTGTACTGCCCCTAAATGGCAAAGCATTTAATTATTTGTCATAAAAATATACTCATAATGGAGAAC